CCCCAAAACCCCAAAACCCCAAAACCCCTTGATATTTTGAACAAATTGAAGTGGAGATAGTTAAAAAAATTATATTTGATGAAAATTCTCTTTGATGATGTTTCAGAGATATTTTAGTATTAATTATGTTTGGTTAAGGAAAATTACATAAATTATTCAATAGCTTTCTTTCTTTTATTTGTCACCTTGACGCTAATTCTTCTATCTTCAGTGGGGACAAAGGGTTTATGATGAGTGTCAAAGTCTAACTTCGCTGAAAGTCTTTTACTCGAGCGAAAATCATCTAAATCAACAATGTCATCAAGCCCGTCTAGCCCATCAAAATCAAAATCGGCTGTATCCATACTCTTGGCATCTCCTTCGTTGTCCATATCTTTCTTCTTAGGAGTATCAGAGGAGATAGAGATAACTCCTTGGGAGACTCTTCTAGTATTTGCAGTGGACTCTTCCTTACCCTTAACGGTATTGATCTTCTTTGTTTCGCTCTCTGAATGCTCCTTGTTTTTATCGATAAGGCTATGGTTGTGGTGGGCCTATAAGAATTATTGTGTTAGAACTTACCTTGACTGAGCCGCTGAATTTGAAGAATTTGCCATTCTTCTTCTCGAATGTTATTTTCCATGGTCATTCTTCCAACTTTCCACTCCTCCTCTGCTTATGTGTTCATTTCACGACTACTTTCTTTGTCTTAGTGTCACGATTTTGAGAAATGTTACTGTCATAGCCAAACCTAGAATTTATGCGACATCTAATTTTCTTAAGTAATCTCGAAGAAGATTTTATTGAGAGAGTCTGAATAGAAGATAAGCTACAGATATTACACAGATTTGGAGATTTTTCATTACAAGAGTCATCTGAAGAAGCTTTTTGGCTCATCAGGTGGGATTGAAGAGAAGCCTTTCTCTTAAGAGTCTCCATTAGGGAATCTTCGTTGATATTTGGGATGCTTTGGGGATGTGGTTTAGCTTTAAGGCTATTTTTGGGAAGATTGCAGTCCTGAACGGAACGAAGGGGTATCAGGAACAATTGGATAAGATGATGAGAGAGGAGATAAAGATTCTTGGCTAAGAGATAAATTTTCTGATGTAGCGCTATTTGTTTCTGTTAGTAAATTATTTTTCTTTAACATCGAGTTTTCATCTGTATCTTTTTCTTCATCTTTTTCTAAATCTTCAATATCATCAATAATGTAAATCTCTTCTACATCATTCTTAGTTTGAGTATCTTTCAGAACATCTAAATCTCTATTTGGGATATTAATTTGTAGATTATGATCAAACCCTCCATTTATGCATAACCTTCATTTATCATAACTTTCTCATAGCTCTTCAGGTTCACTATCAGTGAGCTGTGTGGTAATAAAGTGTTGTCTTTTCTTTTTCAGGGTGACTACATCATTCTCTCTAAGCAAGGTGGGTATATAAAATCTTCCTCCTCTGAGCCCCTCAAGCTTATATTCTTTATAATCTATGATGCCAAATCTATGTCAAACTCTTTTGACTATGCTTGCAATGCCTCCTTTGTACGGATCAATCTGAAAATACTCCATCTGGTTTCTATACAATTAGTGTGTGGGTTACCTTCCATCAATGAACACCTGGATTCTGATGTAATCGTCCTTTTTGTTTATCATATTTAGTGTAAATTTGTAAAAAGACTAGTTTATTTAGTTTACCCATGCTTTATTTCAATATCTATTCTATCAATTGGGGTTTTGGGGTTTTGGGGTTTTGGGGTTTTGGGG